CCCTCATCAATTCTATGATTAACCTCATCCTTCATAAATCCATCCGCCGACACGTCAACTCCCAAGTATCTGAATACATTCACTTCTTCCATACTCCTCCTCCCCAATTTGATATCAATTTTTCTTTATCTAAATCATTTGACACCCTCATCACCTTACTCTTTTCTATGTTCACTTTCAACTTTCTACCTTTACACACATTCCAAACTCATCCACTAACCTTTGCAATTTTTCTTTAGAATCTCCCATAAGCACAGTATCATCAGCAAAAAGTAACTGTGTCAATTCCCATTTTGAATTTGATTCCCCAAAATTTAATCCCACCCCTCTTTCCCGAACACCCTAGCATTTACTTCCTTTACATCCCCATCTATAAATATATTAAACAACCATGGTGACATTACACATCCCTGTCTAAGACCTACTTTTACCGGGAAGTAGTCTCCCTCTCTTCTACACACCCTAACCTGAGCCTCACTATCCTCATAAAAAACTCTTTACAGCATTTAATAACTTATCACCTATTCCATATACTTGCAACATCTGCCACATTGCTCCTCTATCCACTTATCATATGCCTTTTCTAAATCCATAAATGCAATAAAACTTTCCTACCTTTATCTAAATACTGTTCACATATATGCTTCATGTAAACACTTGATCTACACATCCCCTACCCACTCTGAAACCTCCTTGCTCATCCGCAATCTTCATTCTGTCTTACTCTAATTCTTTCAATTATAACCCTACCGTACATTTTTCTGGTATACTCGGTAAACTTATTCCTCTATAATTTTTACAGTCTCTTTTGTCCCCTTTCCCTTTATATAAAGGGACTATACATGCTCTCCGCCAATCCCTAGGTACCTTCCCCTCTTTCATACATTTATTAAACAAAAGTATCAACCACTCCAACACTATATCCCCCCTGCTTTTAACATTTCTGTCATGATCCCATCAGTTCCAGCTGCTTTACCCCCTTTCATTTTACGTAATGCCTCGCGTACCTCCCCCACACTTACATTCTGCTCTTCTTCACTCCTAAGAGATGGTATACCTCCCTGACCAGTGCATGAAATTACTGCCTCTGTTTCTTCCTTAACATTTAAAAGTTCCTCAAAATATTCTCGCCATCTACCTAATACCTCCATCTCCCCATCTACTAGCTCCCCTACTCTGTTTTTAACTGACAAATCCATACTTTCCCTAGGCTTTCTTAACTTGTTTAACTCACTCCAAAATTTTTTCTTATTTTCATTAAAATTTCTTGACAGTGCCTCTCCCACTCTATCATCTGCTCTCCTTTTGCACTCTCTCACCACTCTCTTTACCTTTCTTTTACTCTCCATATACTCTGCTCTTCTTATAACACTTCTGCTTTGTAAAAACCTCTCATAAGCTTCCTTTTTCTCTTTTATCACACCCTTTACTTCATCATTCCACCAATCACTCCTCTTTCCTCTTGCCCCCACCCTCCTATAACCACAAACTTCTGCCCCACATTCTAATACTGCATTTTTAAAACTATTCCAACCCTCTTCAACCCCCCCACTACTCATCTTTGCACTAGCTCACCTTTCTGCCAATAGTCGCTTATATCTCACCCGAACTTCCTCCTCCCTTAGTTTATACACTTTCACCTCCCTCTTACTTGTTGTTGCCACCTTCCTCTTTTCCCCTCTACCTCTTACTCTAACTTTAGCTACAACTAAATAATGATCCGATATATCAGTTACCCCTCTATAAACATGTACATCCTGGAGCCTACCCATCAACCTTTTATCCACCAATACATAATCTAACAAATTTAAGAATGGAGGAACACTGCAGAAGCCATCTGATATTTTGTTAGGTAACAGGACACATGCAACTGATGGGACATTTTATTGCGGCAGTGTTTTGCTCTCCAAGGGCTTGTTGAGCTCGACAAATTCCTAGAGACCGAAACGTTGCTGCAGGAGAATATCATTAGTTGAATGTGTTCTTTTACCCAATGTAATGTTGGGAATTGTAGCAGCATTATTACTACTGGCTTATTGTCCTAACACCTAGTGCTGTGATCACCTAACCTAGCAAGTTATATACTGATGTAATTTTCAAACAGGCCATCTCCCACCCTTCCTCAGTGGGAGACAGTTGGTTTGTTATTATTAAAAAAACAAAAAAAAATCTTTGATGTGGACATTTGTTTTTCTTCACTCTTATAAAGTGTGAAAGCATTGTTATTTTATTTGATCTGTAATACACAATTTGAGTAAAGATAGTGTGCTTGCTCTGAGAACACAAATCCTGCTAGCCTTCTATCCAACCAGCTAGCTCCCCTAAGTCCCCAGTAAAAAAATACTGATTCTGTCCCTACCAGTAGCTGTGTGAGGAGCATCATCTGACATGTATAACTGCTGTTTATTTTCGGTGTTATCATTTATGGCTAGTATGCATGATATCCATAAATTCTTTTTCTGTTCTCAAAAGTTTACTACAATAATATGGTACAGGATATGAAACTGCAATTCTCTGTATATACTAGTAATTATAGTAACATGATGCTTTGCTGGTGGATGGATTGGGCATGATGGTCCCATCAAATGGCCCCATGCTTTCCTGATATCTTACCTTTAAAGCTCTTCTCTTGAGGGTTTGTGAAGGAATGGTTTTTCCTGATAACAGCAGCCGACGTTAAAACACTGTGCTAGAATAAATGATGGCATCAGAAATTTCACACTGAATATGTTGGCCACTACATGAAATGAACTAGCATACTGTATTGATGTGATGTGTTATAGGCCTCTAGCCTTTCAAGGAAGCTTATGTAATGCCACTGAGGGATTCTTGAGCAAGGAATTGGACTTGTTTGCCCCTTAATTGGCTCGAACCTAGTTACGTTTCATTACCTCTCAGTATAATAATAATAAAAAATCTGGCCATTAGAGGTGAACATGTTGATGTTACATAGATTAACTATGAAACTATAAAAACAATCAGTTCAGTTATCATATATGTACGCAAAACTGATTTTTGTATGTATTTTAACAGTTATGTTTTAAGCAAAATTTGAATTTAGAGTAAAACTGCAGGTACCATGTATACACGCTTTCATAGGTTTATGTAAGCAAAGCCAACACACTATAACCAATAAACTGGCTGCTATCCAGCTGCCATGTCACTAGCCTTTAATGAACCTTAATACATGATTGTCAGTTGCCTGAATGTAAACCGTTATTAAACTGGAAGCCATGGTAGGAACAAAAGTGGTATTACACACTCCAGTTACAGCTACATAAACATCATTACAGAAATAAGTAAATGTGTATGGTAATATATGTTAGGGGTCTTCTTTCAACACACTGGCCATATTCCACCGAGGCAGGGAAAACGAAAGTTTCTCCTTTTATATTTAGTAATATATACAGGAGAAGAGGTTACTAGCCCCTGCTACCGGCATCTTAGTCGGCTCTTACAACACGCATGGCTTACGGAGGAAGAATTCTGTTCCACTTCACCATGGAGATAAGAGGAAATAAACAAGAATAAGAACTAGAAAGAAAATAGAAGAAAACCCAGAGGGGTGTGTGTATATACAGTGGACCCCCGGTTAACGATATTTTTTCATTCCAGAAGTATGTTCAGGTGCCAGTACTGACAGAATTTGTTCCCATAAGAAATATTGCGAAGTAGATTAGTCCATTTCAGACCCCCAAACATACACGTACAAACGCACTTACATAAATACACTTACATAATTGGTCGCATTGGGAGGTGATCGTTAAGCGGGGGTCCACTGTATATGCTTGTACATGTATGTGTAGTGTGACCTAAGTGTAAGTAGAAGTAGCAAGACACCTGAAATCTTGCATGTTAATGAGACAGAAAAAAGGACACCAGCAATCTTACCATCATGTAAAAATACAGTTTGGACACCACGCAACGATACCTCCCGGAGTTGCGTTACCACATATATATGTAAGGTGTTAATTTAATTTAAGTGCTGATTGACGATGTATGTGTTCTTATGGGGTGGCTGTCATGCCTATCTATTCACATCATTATTCCTTATGGAAAATTATAAGTTACGGTCAGTATGGCATCTGACACCATACTTTGGAATGAAAAAAGTTGCTTTAAGGGGGGTCCACTGTAATTACAGGCTTTCGTTTTACACTCACTTGGCAGGACGGTAGTACCTCCCTGGGCGGTTGCTGTTTACCAACCTACTACCTAGAATATGTTAGAGGTACAGTATCAGATTTAATTTTTAATGAATCATGAGTGACAGGATGCAAACTATGTGTCATACATCAGTTATGTGGGTGGCTGTCAGTGCCTATACATCATCACATCATGTATCATGAGAACATGTCATCTAAAAGTTTTACTAGAGTGTCAAGCAGGTTATGTTGGCAATCTGAGCTCATCCATTTTTTTTTTTTTTTTTTTAGTTTGCCTTGTTCATTAAAAATTTTTTTTAAACATTTGGAAAAGGTTGGTGAAAACAAATGGAATGCTGTCTACAATGAATCACTGTTTTTAAATAAATAACAAAAAGGCACAATACACAAATAACCCGCACATAGGAGAGGGGAGCTTACAACAACATTTCGGTCCGACTTGGACCATTTACAAAGTCACACTGTGGGACTTTGTAAATAGAATCACTGTTTTTATTTTTATCCCCATTGTTGGGTAACCTACATCTACAGTGTGTCTCCAGATTCAGAAGTTAGTTAGATGAATGGCACACTGTGCTGATAAGGGAATTAATAATAATATTTAAGAAAGCTGTACGTAGTGTGAATGAGGGTGAAAGTGTTTCTTTTTCAGGTCACATTTGCCTCATTGGGAGACAGCCAGTGTATTAAAAAAAAATTAAGTTGGAACAAAAAATAAAATAGACTAATTAGAAGTTACAAATAGAACAGTTGCTTAGGCAAACAAAATATTTTGTTAAGCTTGAAAAGGATTGCTATGTAGATAATTCACAACATTTTAAATGACCATTGCAGTCTAAGAGATGATGATGCTGATGTGAGACAGAAGGCTGAGGAACTCTGGGTGAAAGTTGGACTCCAGTATGAAAGAGAGAACATTGATCAGCTGAAGAAAGATATTGATTTTGATATTACTATGGAAAACTATCCTTCTGGAGGTAAATTATAAACAGTTACTAATTCTAATAAATTATCTAACTTAAGTTATAGGAATGAAAATTGCAATACTTTACTCTTACTTTTTGTATATGCAATATTTTAAAACTCCTTTTTGCTAAATAAATTAACACGAGATTCTTTTTCAGAAGTGCGACCTAGGGTTGGGTGTCGGGTTCTAGTTCAGCGAGCACTGTATCATATTCTTCCTGGCCTGATGAATGACTTGGATGATTGGCAGGCAGGACCCAGGTTTCAAGCAGCTAAACTTTTGGCTGTCTTAATTCTCAATGCTGATCTAGGAATAACTCAGTATGCAGAAAAGGTTCTTGTGGGACTCCATTTAGCAGCAGGTGATCGAGAGGAAAATATTGTCAAACAGGTCAGTGGAGCATTGAAACTAATTTTTTGCCTTCAAGTAGTCCTGGTATGTCTACTACACCTTCCATCAAACTCAGACTTAACACCCTCTTGCTCAACCTATCTTGCTCCATCCTTTATAGGTAGCCAAACCATCACTAAAAATACCACTTATTCCTGAATTATGCTTTTCATATCCTTATACCATCTTATTTCTGCACTCTTTGTTCTCATTCTCTTTGTTCTCAGACATGACATCTCCACAGCCTCTGCCTTGCTGCAACATTCAAAGACCCTCACACCCATAAAAATGTAATTTGGATCCACTGTACTCTGGTACATTTTCCTTTTTTGCATGAATTGCTAGACTTTTTTTTTTTCTCTCACACAGGCTTCTACACTACACACAACTTTTTTTCTTGTCTATTCTTTGATTAACTTTGCCTTTTATACATCTATTGCAAACATATCTATTTCCTAATACAGTGGAACCCGACTTGTGAATTTAATCCGTTCCGTGACCTTGCTCGCATCTGGATTTGCTCGTTTGCAGAGTCAGTTTTCCTCATTTAAATTAACTGAAATGCAATTAATCCATTCCAGTGTAATTCCAGGTACAAGAAAATACTTCAGTAATTTCCCTAATATCATCTATACGGCTTATTTATCTATCACAGTTCATCTAATATGACATAATAAACAATATAAATAACACAGAAACCTGATATATACTCTAGAATGAATAAAATATGTCATTGTGTAACAGGTGGAGGCGGCCACAACCCCTCCCGTTTTGCTGTGGTAAACACTGCCATCTAGTGATGGCCTATTGAAGCCATCTGTTGTTATAATTATTATTATGTAGTACATTATTATTATACATGTATTATTATAATACTACATACTATATTATTATTATATTATTATACTGTTATTATTATACTATTATTATACTGTTATTATTATACTATTATTATTATTACATTATTATACTATTATTATTATTACATTATTATACTATTATTATTATTATTACAATATAAATAATTTGTAATTTTTATTCACACAAAAAATATAAGATTTACTGTTATGCAGACTACTGCAGTATTGTAATAATTGTATAAATAATGTCAACCCATTCACGACTGCATATTGGAATGGACAGTGACGTCATTTGTTTACTTTTGAACATCACCAAAGAATAGAACTCTTCTGCTACTTTGAGCTCAATTTCAAGGCACTTTTCATTGTGAAGCCAATCAAAATCATATCTATTTCTGCAATATATCTTCCATTCTATCAAATGAGACCAAAAAAACGAGAATACAACCATAAAAACCATACGAAAATACTGCTAAGGGGGGGCTAATTGCTGAGAAGTGAACTCCATTATTTATGGTTTGATTTCTTTCATTTTTGGTGTATATTAAGAAGCATTCTTCCATCATACATTGCCCAAGTTTCAATAAGATAATCCAACAAACAAATGAGATCTAATTCCCTAGATTAAGAGCCCCTTACCAGTGTCAAGGAACCTCCCTTGAGGTCAGCTCACTTATGGAAATTTCGCTCGCGTATGGAAGCAAAAAATCAACCGATCGACTGCTCTTATTTGGAAAAACTCACACGTGGTTGCGCTCGCAAGTGCAGCTTAGACTGTACCTAAATATGGTACCTAAATATGGTATATGGTAGTAGGTTGGTAGACAGCAACCGCCCAGGGAGGTACTACCGTCCTGCCAAGTGAGTGTAAAACGGAAACCTGTAATTGTTTTACATGATGGTAGGATTGCTGGTGTCTTTTTTCTGTCTCATTAACGTGCAAGATTTCAGGTACGTCTTGCTACTTCTACTTACACTTAGGTCACACTACACATACATGTACATGTTTATTTATACACACACATCTGAGTTTTCTTTGATTTTATCTTAATAGTTCTTGGTCTTATTACTTTTCCTTTTATATCCATGGGGAAGTGGAATAAAAATCTTTCCTCCGTTAGCCATGCGTGTTGTAAAAGTCAACTAAAATGCCGGGAACAATGGGCTAGTAACCCCTTTTCCTGTAATAATTACTAAAAAGAATAAGAAGAAGAAAATTCTCAAAGTGGGAAGTCTGAATGTGGGTGGATGTTGTGCAAATGATAAGAAAGAGATGATTGTGGATGTTATGAATAAGAAGAAGCTGGATGTCCTGGCTTTAAGTGAAACAAAGATGAAGGGGGTAAGAGAGTTTCAGTGGAGAGGAATAAATGGGATTAGGTCAGGGGTTTCAAATAGAGTTAGAGCTAAAGAAGGAATGTTGAAGGATAAGTTATGGCAGGAAAAGAGGGACTATAAATGTATTAATTCAAGGATTATGTGGAGTAAAATAAAGGTTGGATGTGAAAAGTGGGTTATAGTAAGTGTGTGTGCACCTGGACAATAGAGAAGTGTAGAGGAGAGTGAGAGAGATTTTGGGAAATGTTGAGTGAATGCGTGGGGAGTTTTGAATCAAGTGTGAGAGTAATGGTGGTTGGGGATTTCAATGCTAAAGTGGGCAAAAATGTTGTGGAGGGAGTAGTAGGTAAATTTGGGGTGCCAGGGGTAAATGAAAATGGGAAGCCTTTAATTGAGCTATGTGTAGAAAGAGGTTTAGTAATAAGTAATACATATTTTATGAAGAAGAGGATAAATAAATATACAAGGTATGATATAGCACGTAATGAAAGTAGTTTGTTAGATTATGTATTGGTGGATAAAAGATTGATGGGTAGGCTCCAGGATGTACATGTTTATAGAGGGGCAACTGACATATCGGATCATTATTTAGTTGTAGCTACAGTTAGAGTAAGATGTAGATGGGAAAAGAGCAAAATGGCAACAACAAGTAAAAGGGAGGTGAAAGTGTATAAACTAAGGGAGGAGGAAGTTTTGGTGAAATATGAGCAGCTATTGGCAGAAAGGTGGACTGGTGCAAATATGAGCAGTGGAGGGGTTGAAGAGGGTTGGAATAGTTTTAAAAATACAGTATTAGAATGTGGGGCAGAAGTTTGTGGTTATAGGAGGGTGGGTGCAGGAGGAAAGAGGAGTGATTGGTGGAATGATGAAGTAAAGGTTGTGATAAAAGAGAAAAAGTTAGCTTATGAGAGGTTTTTACAAAGCAGAAGTGTTATAAGAAGAGTAGAGTATATGGAGAGTAAAAGAAAGGTGAAGAGAGTGGTGAGAGAGTGCAAAAGGAGAGCAAATGATAGAGTGGGAGAGGCACTGTCGAGAAATTTTAATGAAAATAAGAAAAATTTTGGAGTGAGTTAAACAAGTTAAGAAAGCCTAGGGAACAAATGGATTTGTAAGTTAAAAACAGAGTAGGGGAGGTAGTAGATGGGGAGAGGGAGATTTTGGGTAGATGGGGAGAATATTTTGAGGAACTTTTAAATGTCGACGAAGAAAGAGAATCGGTAATTTCATGCACTGGACAGGGAGGTATACCATCTTTTAGGAGTGAAGAAGAACAGGATGTGAGTGTGGGGAAGGTGAGTGAGGCATTACGTAGAATGAAAGGGGGTAAAGCAGCTGGAACTGCCAGGATCATGACAGAAATGTTAAAAGCAGGGGGGGATATGGTGTTGGAGTGGTTGGTATTTTTGTTTAATAAATGTATGGAAGAGGGGAAGGTACCTAGAGATTGGCGGAGAGCATGTATAGTCCCTTTATATAAAGGGAAGAGGGACAAAAGAGATTGTAAAAATTATAGAGGAATAAGTTTACTGAGTATACCAGGAAAAGTGTACGGTAGGATTATAATTGAAAGAATTAGAGGTAAGACAGAATGTAGGATTGCGGATGAGCAAGGAGGTTTTAGAGTAGGTAGGAGATGTGTAGATCAAGTGTTTACATTGAAGCATATATGTGAACAGTATTTAGATAAAGGTAGGGAAGTTTTTATTGCACTTATTTACGTATTTAGAAAAGGCATATGATAGAGTGGATAGAGGAGCAATGTGGCAGATGTTGCAAGTACATGGAATAGGTTGTAAGTTACTAAATGTTGTAAAGAGTTTTTATGAGGATAGTGAGGCTCAGGTTAGGGTGTGTAGAAGAGAGGGAGACCTCTACTTTCCGGTAAAAGTAGGTCTTGGACAGGGATGTGTAATGACACCATGGTTGTTTAATATATTTATAGATGGGGTTGTAAATGAAGTAAATGCTAGGGTGTTCGGGATAGGGGTGGGATTAAATTATGGGGAATCAAATACAAATTGGGAGTTGACACAGTTACTTTTTGCTGATGATACTGTGCTTATGGGAGATTCTAAATAAAAATTGCAAAGTTTAGTGGACGAGTTTGGGAGTGTGTGTAAAGGTAGAAAGTTGAAAGTGAACATAGAAAAGAGTAAGGTGATGAGGGTATCAAATGATTTAGATAAAAATTGGATATCAAATTGGGGAGGAGGAGTATGGAAAAAGTGAATGTTTTCAGATGTGTACTTGGGAGTTGATGTATCGGCGGATGAATTTATGAAGGATGAGGTTAATCATAGAATTGATGAGGGAAAAAAGGTGAGTGGTGCATTGAGGTATATGTGGAGACAAAAAACATTATCTATGGAGGCAAAGAAGGGAATGTATGGAAGTATAGTAGTACCAACACTCTTATATGGGTGTGAAGCTTGGGTTGTGAATGCAGCAGCGAGGAGGTGGTTGGAGGCAGTGGAGATGTCCTGTCTAAAGGCAATGTGTGGTGTAAATATTATGCAGAAAATTAGGAGTGTGGGAATTAGGAGAAGGTGTGGAGTTGATAAAAGTATTAGTCAGAGGGCTGAAGAGGGGTTGTTGAGGTGGTTTGGTCATTTAGAGAGAATGGATCAAAGTAGAATGACATGGAGAGCATTTAAATCTGTAGGGAAAGGAAGGCGGGGTAGGGGTAGCCCTCGAAAAGGTTGGAAGGAAGAGGTAAGGGAGGTTTTGTGGGTGAGGGGCTTGGACTTCCAGCAGGCTTGCTGGAAGTCCAAGCCCTGATGAGCTGTTGGAGTGTGGGCAGGGTAATATTTAGTGAAGGGATTCAGGGAAACCAGTTATTTTTATATAGCCAGACTTGAGTCCTGGAAATGGGAATTACAATGCCTGCACTTTAAAGGAGGGGTTCGGGATATTGGCAGTTTAGAGGGATATGTTGTGTATCTTTATACGTATATGCTTCTAAGCTGTTGTGTTCTGAGCACCTCTGCAAAAACAGTGATTATGTGTGAGTGGGGTGAAAGACTTGAATGATGATGAAAGTATTTTCTTTTTGGGGATTTTCTTTCTTTTTGGGTCACCCTGCCTCGGTGGGAGACGACCGACTTGTTAAAAAAAAAAAAAATTCTTCATACTTCTTGCAATACCTAGACTCTTTTTGATTATACACTGTACAGTGGAACCTCAGTATGCTACCTTAATTCATTCCAGAAGGCTGTTCAAGTGGCACTCCATTTGAGTATTGAACAAGTTCTTCCCAACCAATTTTCTGTTTGGTTGGCTGTTATCACTAATCTTTGTAGGCCCCATTGTGACTTATTAATACAAATAATACGAAAAAACGCCAAAAAATGTGAAGAAACATGAAACAGTTTATGGCGGAGTTCTGGCAGGTCGTATTTGTTTTGTCGAGTGCTGAGCTTTGCTTGGGTAAGGAACTGATTGTATACCGAGGTTCCACTGTATGTATACATATAATCTTAGATTAACAGTTTAAAGTACATGTAGCAGTATGTATATTACTTTAGTTGTTTTGTATTAGTCAAGTTTTCCTTGATGAATAATAAACTGACTGACAAATAATGATCCATGTTGGTAATTAATTATAGAGTACTGTATTAGTAATTTTAATTGTCAAGTTTAACCTGTATTTTTACCAAGGCTATTAGACATTATATTGTTTAATAATTATAAATGTTTCCATCAAAAGTATTTTTGTTATAGATTCATATTGTATTTTGATTTCTGTTAGGTCATTGAGTGCAGCAGATACCTTGGCCACTTTCTTCCTCCAGCGACATACCTGCCACTCATCTTACCCAGGTTGAGTACAGTTAGTAATGGGGAGCATCCAATAACAATATTGGCTTCCATGGCAGAAGGCACAAAAAGTAATATACTTCAGGAAAGTATTAAAGATATCATTGAAGCTGTTTCTATTGAGGACATAGCTTATAAGTCACAGTATGAACACCAAAGAGCTCTTCTACAGTTGATTAAAGTAATAATAACCAAGTGTGATCCAAGTGAAGTCAGTTTTGATATTTTTCGCATTTTACTGTTTATTGCATCGTCCTCGGAAGCAGATAATAATGTTAACACTGCTCTAGAACAGTTGGATGCTTTTGCAAGTAAGACTAAATGTGCAGAAACAAGTGAATTATATCAAAGACACCTTAATGCAGCCTTGAAGACACTACTATTATCTGCCAATTGCTGGACTGAAAATACCCCACAATTTTTGATGTTTGTTGGCCTGATGGAGCTAGCAGGTAAAGTAATTTTCATGTTACAGTATAAAACACTAGAGTAGTTTTTCTGCATCTACATGCAGTATTTCATATTGGGCCATCTGAGTTTGCCAAGCCCCATATCCCTACTCATGCCTGTAACTAGCACATCACACTAGCCTTCTTAATATAAGCATTCTTTTATAGGTAATTCAGTGACAAAACCAGTAAATACCCTGCATACATATTCATTAATGTATATACATAGTTTTTTTTTTTTCAGCGAACCAACCATATCACACCGAAGCAAGGTGACCTAAAAAAAAAAATTTTTTTTCTTTTTACATTTAATAATTTATACAGAAGAAGGGGTTACTAGCCCTTTGCTTCAGGCATTTTAGTAACCTCTTACGACACACATGGCTTACAAAGGAAGGCTTCTTTTTCACTTCTTCATCGAGATTACTGTACATGTGTGTGAATATGAAAGATTAGGTAAACCATGGAATACATGAGGGGGTAAACAGTAGGTGGTGTGTTGAAGTATCTATGGAAAGAAAAGTTTTTGCTGTGGAGGTGAAAAAGGGAATGTACCAGAATATAGTGACACCAACACTTTTATATGAATGTGAGGCATTAGTTTTGAATACTGCAGTGAAGAGGAGGCTGGAGAAAGTAGAGATGTAATGCTTGAGAGCAACATCGTGTGGTGTGAATAATGTGCAGAGAATTTGGAGAGTGGAAATTTAAAGGCAATGCGTGATCACGAACGGCATAATTCAGAGGGCTCAGGAGGGGTTGTTGAGGTTTTTTGGGCTTGTAGAGAGGATGGAGAGGGATAGGTTGACAAAAAGGGTATATTAATGTGGGATGAAAAGAAGGAAGGGAAGGAAGGGTCCCAGGAATGGTTGGAGGAAGGGGGTAAAAGAGACTTAGTTTTAGAGGCTTGACCATCCAGCAGGCTTGTGTAAGCATGTTAGATTAGTGTGAATGGAGACAATGGTTTTTAATGAGCATGATGTTGGAATGTGAGCATGATAACATTTATGAAGGGATTCAGGGAAAGTGGTGTAGCCAGACTTGAGTCCTAGAGTTCGAAAGGGCAATGGATGTGAATTGTGTTGTCAGCACACTTCTGAAAAGCCGGTGATTGAATGAATGATAGTGAATGTGTTTTCTTTGTGTCACATGCCATGGCAGGAAACAGTCATTGAGGCTAAAAAAAAAAAATATGAAATTACATTATTCACAATTTCTACTGTTTTGTGAGACTTCTAGGAATGCTATTTCCAGTGAATTTGTTTGGATGACTGCATGATTTGTAATTCATGCATTTGCTTATTTTTATTTTCTTCTTCAAAAACTCACACTTGGGAGAGGAACCTCATCACAATGTTTTATTCTGTCCTGGAGCATTGTCAAGTCACAACTGGGGCAGGAAAATAGAGAATGCCAAAAGACCATATGGTGGGGGCAGGGTAAGAAGCAAGTGGTATAATAGCAACAGTAGTAGTAGTAGATGTAAAATAAGTAGGTATAGTAGTAGTAAAAGTAGTAGCAGTGGCAATAATTATATGGAGGTAATAGCATTAGTAGTGACAGAAGTAATAGTGTAATGGTAGTGAAAGAATTTGTAGTAGTGGTAGTAGTAGTCCAAAAAAACAAAGGAGCACTGCAAGAGATCTACTGGACCTTGACCTTCCTGGGCAGGACTAATGATAGAGTAATGAGGATGGAGATTAAGCTGCAGTATCTCAACACTAGAGGGCAGAGAAGAACTGCAATAGGCTATCTGGCCCAAGCTATGATAATTCAAGAAATAATTATATTTTGATAATGGTTATTAATATTTTTTCCAGGTCAGAGCCTAAGTTATGAAATGGAGCTTTTTGTCAAAGTGCTTATAGCCTGTGTTCCAAAGAAACAAGATCCATATGTCAGTTTGCGTTGCTTAACAAAACTACGAATGCTTCTGTTGCAAGAAGATCACCCACTTGAGTCAAGTGGTCAGCTTGGATTATGGCTCCCTGATCTTGTCTCAGGTTAGTAAATAGTTTTCTTTAGCTTGTAATATGATTGATATCTTGTGGTGTCAAATCCAAATCTTTATTATAAAGGCTATTACAGTAGAATCTCAATTTAACTGACCTTAATTTAATGAATTTTGGATTTAACAGACAAGATTTGGACAACAGACAAAGTCTGACGATAAAGGACAAAGTTATTGTTTTTAGAAATGAGCATTTCATTGTGTAATGATTTTAAAATAGAATATAACATACTATGTTATATCAGAAACACTTATACTGTTATAATAATTTTTTGTTGAAAATGTTTACATACTTCTAAAGTGATAAATGCAGAAGAATATTCATACAATCCATAATTATTTTTAGTTGAAATTTAATAAAGTAATATACAACTTTTTCCCAAAACCCTAAAATCCCTTTGAATGGTGCAGTGGGTGTATTGAATATTTGTAACATGTTCCAGGCAGGATGTTAATAGGTAAACAATGAAACCAGGGCCGTTGATTCAAGATCAATTCCCTACAGCAAAATAGTGGAATTCGCAAAAAAAGTCATATGTAGATTAACTTAGGATAACCAATAGTATAGCCAAAGTGACTTATTTCCATGTTCGTAAAAGTTAAAAACCTTTAAACCCTTTCAGGGTCAAGGCCCAATTCTGGGTCACGCACAGTGTCCAAGAATTTAAAAAAGAAAAATTGTTTTTTCTTATGAAATCGTAGAGAACTTTTCGTGAAGGTAATAAAACAAAAAGTAAGAAATTTGGTGGAAAATTGACAAATTTGCTTGGTTTTGTGGTCACGTTTTTCGAATGGGCGATTTTCCCGACTTTGACTCCCATTTGGGCCCAATTACTTTTCCAATAAACCCCAAATTCTTAGCTATTTTCACTGTATTACTTCTATTTATCGAAGCACAAAAATCGCCAAGTCAACTTTTTTCAACTACAAAATAATGATCGGAAAATTGTTAATTGCCAATTTAACACAAAGTTTCAAAATATTCCAATTTCAAAATAGGGTCCGAATGAACAAGAGGCATTCTGGCACTAATAACATTCCCATTGTTTATTGTTTTAGAGAATGACATATTCATTGTGTAATGATTTTAAAAAAAGAATATAACCAAAACTATGATTATATCAGAATACTTAAAAACTGTTTATAATAATTTTTTGTTGAAAATGTTTACATACTATCTAAAAGTGACAGAATGCTGAGAAAGAATAGTCAACATACAGTACCATAATGTAATTTTTAGTTGAAATTTAATAAAAGTAATATACAACATTCCAAACCTAAAATACCTTTGTAAGCTCTTCAGGTGTGGCAAGAAGGAAGTATAGACATGGAGAAAATGTTAAACCTATTTAGAACTAATGGTTGCAGTAGTGTATTGAATATTTGTCACTGTTCCAGAGCAGATGTTAATAGGTAAACAATGAAACCAGGGCCTGTTGTTCAAGTATCAACTTCCCTACCAGCAAATAGTGGAATTCAGCCAAAAAAAAGCTCACTATGTAGATTAACTTAGGATAACCCAATAGTATAGCCAAAGTGACTTATTTCCATGTTTCGATAAGTATTACACCTTAAAATAATGGTAATATAAAATTTTCTTGTAAATTTATATTATAATAGTCTTGAAGGTGCACAGGTGTTTTGGACACAAATTACTTTGTTTATACAGTAGGGCCCCACTTATTCGGCAGGTTAGGTTTCAGGCTACTGCCGGAAAGCAAACTTCACCGGAAAGCAGAACTCCATTTTTTCCATTTATAAATGCATATAAATGCCAGATAACAAGTTTACAGTAACATATATCAAGTTAGCAATAGAACTAGGCATTAAAAAGTAAAATACACACACAATACATCCATTATTTACCTCATAATATTTTTGGTCTTAATGTAGGGCAAAAGGTGAGTAGCCCTCCTGGCCACCCCACCCACACATACTATACTAGGATGCTTAAAGCTCCCTAGAGCGATAAAATGCATATAGTACAGTACACTCATTACTTACCTTAAAATATTTGTAGTCTTAATCGTCTTAATGTAGGGTGAGAGGTGAAAGGTATTTATTTGTAGAAAGTCGTGTGGGAGGTATGGTATCCTACCCAGCCACTTATACCTACTACAACATTAGGCTCCATAGAGCGATAAAATGCATATATAGTACACTCATTAATTACCTTAAAATATTTGTTGTCTTAATATAAGGTGAGAGGTGAGTTTTATTTGTATGAAGTCAGGTTGGGACGTATGGGTAGCCAGGTAGGCCAGCCCTCCCCACCCCACCCACACATAATGTAAACAAACCAGATGAATGCGTCTGGTTTTCGTCACAAGTCCTACAAGTTGCCTGTAACCACAAGTCCTGCACAAGTCCCTGCCTGGTCCATCCCCATCTCTTCATTATATTTATGTTAATTTATTCTATTGCGAGGTGTATTTAGATGGATTAAGCAAAATGTCTATATTAATGTTTTATACGAATATTTAGTGCTCCTTACAGTGATTATTATTGAGTTATTATTATTATCATTATCAATATGGCATCTTCAAGACTAATAAGACACTCTTAGTGATTTTAATGTGTACCTGCATGCTAGCACAGTGTGTAAGTTTACTTAGGTACAGGTACACATAAGTATAAGTATCGGTTATAATAATAATGTAGGTATGTAGTCCTGCCTGGGGTACATACCTACACCTACCTACATAGCTACACGATATTTAATGTGGCCCAGAGCCATATTATTACCATCGACATACTATGTTCACTGAGTTTAATCATTTCTAACAACTACCTTTAGATGCCATCATGAACAAAGGGTGAAGTAATGAATAATTCATACCGAGAATTGTAAACAAAAGCATTATGTATTAACCCGTAAACGGTCCAAATGTATATATGCGTTTTTACCGCTAGTGCCCCAAACGTATATATACGTTTTATGTGTCACACATTTAACATTGCCACGATAAGCCTGAGTCACCTAGACATGAGAGAATGGGTGTGATCACTCACTGTGTGCCATATTAAAATAATTGGGGATGCCTGGGTACAATATGCTCTTTTTTCCTATTAAAAAAACAATGTTTTTTTTTTTTCTCAAAAAAGTTGGGGCAGTACGGTAGTGAATGTATATATACGTTTGGACCGTTTACGGGTTAAGGGGAGTGACGTAATGTTTTTCCCTCCGCCTGGCTACCACACCTCCACAGTATATAAACAAAATGTTTATGTGTTATGTAACATGTTTCTTATATAATTCTGAAGAAAATATAGATTAATGAAAATGTTTATATTAACGTAAAATAAGACATTTAATGTCCCAAGAGTGATTATTATTAGCATTATGTAATGTTTTCCCTCCACCCAGCAACCACACCTTTATAGCATATAAACAGCATGTTTATATGCTATGTAACATGTTTCTTATATAATTTTGAAGAAAACATCATAGATGGATTAACCCTTTCAGGGTCGGCAGTCCGTCTCCTAAACTTGTTCTCAGGGTCAGAAATTTAAAAAAATATATATTATTATTTTTTCTTATGAAATGATAGAGAATCTTTTCCCGATCATAATGACACCAAAGGTATGAAATTTGATGGAAAACTTAAGGAATTATGCTCTCGCGATGTTAGAGGTCTTGAAGATGTTTATGCATCGGTGATTTCACTCACTTTGAGCCCTATTTTCAGCCAGTTCCAGTCGACAGAAATAATAATTATTTCGCTAGAACTTCATTTTTTCTGTCGAATGAGTACAAGAAACCACCCACTTACCGATTTCAACTGTCCAATAAAGTGGTTCGAAATTGGCAATTTTGCCAATTTCACACAAATTTCAAAAGATGCCAATTTCCAAATAGGGTTCAGAATAAACAAGACAGACATTCCTGGCACTAAAATAACATTCCTCTGTTCATTAGTCATGTCCCCAGGCCTTTGTTACATTTCTTTTGCTGTCCACTTTGAATTTTTATTCTCACAAAAAAATAGAAGATTTACTGTTATGCAGACTACTGCATTAGTGTAGAAATGGTATAAATAATATCAGCACACTTGTGAAAGAATATTAGACTCACCAGTTGACGTGTATTGGACACATGGCTTGATTTAATTACTTTTGAACTTTGGCAAAAATCAAACATTTCTGCTACTTTGAGCTCAATTTCAAGGTACTTTTCATTGTGAAACCAATAAAAATCATCTCGATTTCCATTCTATAAAATGAGACCAGGAAAACTAGAATACAACCATAAATAACATACGTAGCTGTTTTAAACCAAAAACATGGTAGGATTTTTTTTTTCTCACACTGACCACATAGACCCATTCTTTCATAAGTAGGCCTACCAGCTTTCTCTCACTAGATTTGAAGGCGCTAGAATTTATGTGTACTAGCACGGCACTAATCCTGGCGTGCAAGCCGTGCTAGTACGGCACCAACCCTGAAAGGGTTAATGAAAATGTCTATATTGACGTAAAATTAGGCATTTAATGTGCCCAAGAGTGATTATTATTACATAATAGAGATGTGCTCATGGAGAATGTAAACAAATCGGGTGGCCCGTGCCGTATTTGAAAGTCCACTTGCCGTATAGAAAGTTTTGGTCATAATTTGAGATCGCCGTATTAGCGGAATGCTGTAAGGCGAAATGCCGAAAAACGGGGCCCTACAGTATAACCAAGATATTTCCTTGAACCTACATACTCAGTATAACATACTAATTACCCTATGATAACCCAGTATAATCAGACTGATTTATTTCCATGTTTTGAGGAATTTTACACCCTATATCATAAGTGTTTCTTGAACGTGGTGTTAGAATACCAAAGTAGTAAAAAATAGAATAAAAACTATTATTTGTTCCAATTTAAACTACATATTCCAACTGGATCATTGTTGAGCTATGCATTTCCCATGTTTGAAATACTAAAACACCTTGAAACACATCTAATATTTTAAGAAACTAGTGTACATAATGTTAAACATTAAAAACAATAAAACTGAAAAACAATTATAATTTGACATCAGTTAATTGTAAAATGTAAATATCACTGGTGCATTCATTCTGCTGTTACCAATAAGTGAAATTTTTTTTTGCCAGCTTCACCATACCATAAAATCATAAATTTTTATCAGATTCCACTCACTTTAGTCTTATTTGTTTCATAAAAATGCACTCTTTCAGTCTATATAAAAAAATCAGAATCTTGCCACACACAGAGGAAATTAATTTTCAGGGCAAAACATTATTCATTATTGTTTGGTACTGTAATTAATTGCTAAATTTTTGTTTTGTTTTGCTTGTTCCTCAGAATGCATTGCAGTTTTTTTGTCATGGCATGCTGGTGCTACAGCTGAAGCTCTGAGAACAGCCGCTGTAGCCTGTTTAGAGGGTGTTTGCAAAATTGGCGTGTCTGAAATCCGGGTAATTGAAGGTAGAGTGGTCAAGTATTGTTTCAAAAAGCATAATATTTAATCTCTTTTGTATAACAGATTTATTGAGTTTTTCTTTGCACAGAAATAAAAGTTCACATTGCTTGTAGTTTATACATTGTCATCTTATATTCTCTGTACAGTAGACTCTTGTACTGTGTAACATTGTGCTGTTTGGGTTTCCCTAGCTTTGTGGGCTCGGGGATGTTGAGGATGGGGAAGGTTTAGGGGGGAGAGGTTGAGGCTGTGGCGTATGATGTCGGTGGCCCTGTAAACCTCCAACAACATTGTTTTGTTTGAGCGCTGAACTTAACTGATACAATTTGTTTTCTTTAATCACTGAACATAACTGATACAGCTTTAGTATCTACATATTGTTTAATCACTGAACATAACTGATACAGCTTTAGTATCTACATATCATAGATGTACTAAGCTGGTATTGCCTGGCTAAGTCCATGGAAATCGTCTTTTTCTTCTCAGCACTGTCCTTTGCACTAATTTTCTTAGGACCCATGGTTAGAAAAAAGAAATTTGGCCAGATGACTGTAAAAAAAATGCAAGCAAGCATGAGAGAACTGCTCCTACAGCAATGTTTTGGCATCAGCTGTGCCAACTAGTGGCAGCATTCTGAATTATTATTACGTACGTATTATGTAGTATATAGGTAGTAGGTTGGTAGACAGCAACCACCCAGGGAGGTACTACCGTCCTGCCAAGTGAGTGTAAAACGAAAGCCTGTAATTGTTTTACATGATGGTAGGATTGCTGGTGTCTTTTGTCTGTCTCATAAATATGCAAGATTACAGGCATGTCTTGCTACTTCTACTTACACTTAGGTCACACTACACATACATGTACATGTTTATTTATACACACTCATCTGAGTTTTCTTTGATTTTATCTTAATAGTTCTTGGTCTTATTACTTTTCCTTTTATATCCATGGGGAAGTGGACTAAGAATCTTTCCTCCGTAAGCCATGCGTGTTGTAAAAGTCAACTAAAATGCCGGGAACAATGGGCTAGTAACCCCTTTTCCTGTAAAGATTACTAAAAAGAAAATTGTCAAAGTGGGAAGTCTGAATGTGCGTGGATGTTGTGCAAATGATAAGAAAGAGATGATTGTGGATGTTATGAATGAGAAGAAGCTGGATGTCCTGGCTTTAAGTAAAACAAAGCTGAAGGGGGTGGGAAAGTTTCAATGGAGAGGAATAAATGGGATTAGATCAGGGATTTCAGATAGAGTTAGAGCTAAAGAAGGAGTAGCAATAATGTTGAAGGATAAGATATGGCAGGAAAAGAGGGACTATAAATGTATTAATTCAAGGATTATGTGGAGTAAAATAAAGGTTGGATGTGAAAAGTGGGTTATAGTAAGCGTATATGCACCTGGAGAAGCAAGAAGTGTAGAGGAAAGAAAGAGATTTTTGGAAATGTTGAGTGAATGCATGGGGAGTTTTGAACCAAGTGTGAGAGTACTTGTGGTTGGGAATTTCAGTGCTAAAGTGGGAAAAATGTTGTGGAGGGAGTAGTAGGTAAATTTGGGGTGCCAGGGGTAAATGTAAATGGGGAGCCTTTAATTGAGCTATGTGTAGAAAGAGATTTGGTAATAAGTAATACATATTTTATGAAAAAAGAGGATAAATAAATATACAAGGTATGATGTAGCACGTAATGAAAGTAGTTTGTTAGATTATGTATTGGTGGATAAAAGGTTGATGGGTAAGCTCCAGGATGTACATGTTTATAGTGGGGCAACTGCTATATCGGATCATTATTTAGTTGTAGCTACAGTTAGAGTAAGAGATAGATGGGACAAGAGGAAGGTGGCAACAACAAGTAAGAGGGAAGTGAAAGTGTATAAACTAAGGGAGGAGGAAGTTCGGGTGAGATATGAGCGACTATTGGCAGAAAGGTGGGCTAGTGCAAAGATGAGTAGTGGGGGGTTGAAGAGGGTTGGATGAGTTTTACAAATGCAGTATTAGAATGTGGGGCAGAAGTTTGTGGTTATAGGAGGGTGGGGGCAGGAGGAAAGAGGAGTGATTGGTGGAATGATGAAGTAAAGGGTGTGATAAAAGAGAAAAAGTTAGCTTATGAGAGGCTTTTACAAAGCAGAAGTGTTATAAGAAGAGCAGAGTATATGGAGAGTAAAAGAAAGGTGAAGAGAGTGGTGATAGAGTGCAAAAGGAGAGCAGATGATAGAATGGGAGAGGCACTGTCAAGAAATTTTAATGAAAATAAGAAAAATTTTTGGAGTGAGTTAAACAAGTTAAGAAAGCCTAGGGAACGTATGGATTTGTCAGTTAAAAACAGAGTAGGGGAGTTAGTAGATGGGGAGAGGGAGGTATTAGGTAGATGGCGAGAATATTTTGAGGAACTTTTAAATGTTGAGGAAGAAAGGGAGGTGGTAATTTCATGCACTGGCCAGGGAGGTATACCATCTTTTAGGAGTGAAGAAGAGCAGAATGTAAGTGTGGGGGAGGTACGTGAGGCATTACATAGAATGAAAGGGGGTAAAGCAGCTGGAACTGATGGGATCATGACAGAAATGTTAAAAGCAGGGGGGAATATAGTGTTGGAGTGGCTGGTACTTTTGTTTAATAAATGTATGAAAGAGGGGAAGGTACCTAGGGATTGGCAGAGAGCATGTATAGTCCCTTTATATATAGGGAAGGGGGACAAAAGAGATTGTAAAAATTATAGAGGAATAAGTTTACTGAGTATACCAGGAAAAGTGTACGGTAGGGTTATACAGTGGACCCTCGCCTAACGAACGCATTGCGTAACGTTAAATCGCTTAGCGATACATTTTAACGCAAAAATTTTGCCTCGGTTAGCGCTAAAAAACTCGCTCAATGCGATTCGTTCGAGATGCTTCCATGTGCGGCCTGAGCCCGCCTCACTTGTTCCGTGGGTGCCAGTGTTTACAAGCCAGCCACCGCGGTCGCTTCCAAGCATACAATCGGAACATTTCATATTATCACAGCCTTTTTTAGTGATTGCACCTGCAAAATAAGTCACCATGGGCCCCAAGAAAGCTTCTAGTGTCAACCCTACAGCAAAAAGGGTGAGAATTACTATGGATATGAAGAAAGAGATCATTGCTAAGTATGAAAGTGGAGTGCGTGTCTCCTAGCTGGCCAGGTTGTACACAAAACCCCAATCAACCATTGCTACTATTGTGGCCAAGAAAACGGCAATCATGGAAGCTGTTCTTGCCAAAGGTGCAACTTTGTTTTCGAAACAGAGATCGCAAGTGATAGAAGATGTTGAGAGACTGTTATTGGTGTGGATAAACGAAAAACAGATAGCAGGAGATAGCATCTCTCAAGCGATCATATGTGAAAAGGCTAGGAAGTTGCATGAGGATTTAATTAGAAAAATGCCTGCAATTAGTGATGATGTGAGTGAATTTAAGGCCAGCAAAGGTTGATTTGAGAGATTTAAGAAGCGTAGTGGCATACATAGTGTGATAAGGCATGGTGAGGCTGCCAGTTTGGACCACAAAGCAGCTGAAAAATATGTGCAGGAATTCAAGGAGTACATAGACAGTGAAGGACTGAAACCTGAACAAGTGTTAAATTGTGACGAAACAGGCCTGTTTTGGAAGAAAATGCCAAGCAGGGCCTACATTACTCAGGAGAAAAGGCACTCCCAGGACATAAGCCTATGAAAGACAGGCTTACTCTTGTTCATGTGTGCTAATGCTAGTGGTGATTGCAAAGTGAAGCCTTTATTGGTGTATCACTCTGAAACTCCCAGAGTGTTCAGGAAAAACAATGTCCTCAAGGCTAATTTGTGTGTGCTGTGGAGGGCAAACAGTAAGGCATGGGTCACTAGGGACTTTTTCTATGACTGGTTGCACCATGCATTTGCCCCCACTGTGAAAAATTATCTAATTGAAAAGAAATTAGACCTTAAGTGCCTCCTGGTATTAGACAATGCTCCTTGTCATCCTTCAGACGTGGCAGAGCGACTTTCTGCGGAAATGACCTTCATTAAGGTCAAGTTTTTGCCTCCTAATACCACTCCTCTCCTGCAGCCCATGGACCAGCAGGTCATTTCCAACTTCAAGAAACTGTACACAAAAGCTCTGTTTGAAAGGTGCTTTGTAGTGACCTCAGAAACTCAGTTGACTCTAAGAGAGTTTTGGAGAGATCACTTTAGCATCCTCAATTGTGTAAACATTATAGGTAAGGCTTGGGAGGAAGTGACTAAGAGGACCTTGAACTCTGCTTGGAAGAAACTGTGGCCAGAATGTGTAGGCAAAAGGGATTTTGAAGGGCTTGAGGCTAACCCTGGGAATCCTATGCCAGTTGAGGAATCCATTGTGGCATTGGGGAAGTCCTTGGGGTTGGAGGTTAGTGGGGAGGATGTGGAAGAGTTGGTGGAGGAGGACAGTGAAGAACTAACCACTGATGAGCTGCTAGATCATCTTCAACAGCAAGAGGCAAGACCTGAGGAAACTGCTTCGGAGGAGGGGATAGAGAAATTGAAGAAGTTACCTACTTCAAAGATTAAGGAAATGTGTGCAATGTGGCTTAAAGTGCAAACCTTTTTTGATGAAAATCACCCTCACACAGCTATTGCAATCCGTGCTGGTGAATATTACACTGACAATGTTGTGAAACACTTTAGGAATGTCATAAAGGAACGGGAGGTACAGGCCTCTATGGACAGATATGTTGTGCGACAGAGGTCCATTGACTCTCAGGCTGGTCCTAGTGGCATTAAAAGAAGAAGGGAAGTAACCCCGGAAAAGGACTTGCCACCTCAAGTCCTAATGGAAGGGGATTCCCCTTCTAAACTTTAACACCATCCACAGTCTCCCCTCCTCCCATCCCATCAATCATCACCAGATCTTCAATAAAGGTAAGTGTCATGTAACTGTGCATGTCTTCTTCAGTTTGTGTGTATTAAAATTAATATTTCATGTGGTAAAAATTTTTTTTGGTTCATACTTTGGGGTGTCAGGAATGGATTAATTTGATTTCCATTATTTCTTATGGGGAAAATTAAATCGGCTAACGATAATTTCTCCTAACGTTGAGCTCTCAGGAACGGATTAATAGCGTTAGGCAAGGGTCCACTGTAATTGAAAGAATTAGAGGTAAGACAGAATGTAGGATTGCAGATGAGCAAGGAGGTTTCAGAGTGGGTAGGGGATGTGTAGATCAAGTGTTTACATTGAAACATATATGTGAACAGTATTTAGATAAAGGTAGGGAAGTTTTCATTGCATTTATGGATTTAGAAAAGGCATTTTATAGTGGATAGGGGAGCAATGTGGCAGATGTTGCAAGTACATATATATGGAATAGGTGGTAAGTTACTAAATGCTGTAAAGAGCTTTTATGAGGATAGAGAAGCTCAGGTTAGGGTGTGCAGAAGAGAGGGAGACTACTTCCCGGTAAAAGTAGGTCTTAGACAGGGATGTGTAATGTCTCCATGGTTGTTTAATATATTTATAGATGGGGTTGTAAAAGAAGTAAATGCTAGGGTGTTCGGGAGAGTGGTAGGATTAAATTATGGGGAATCAAATACAAAATGGGAATTGACAGTTACTTTTTGCTGATGATACTGTGCTTACGGGAGATTCTAAAGAAAAATTGCAAAGGTTAGTGGATGAGTTTGGGAGTGTGTGTAAAGGTAGAAAGTTGAAAGTGAACATAGAAAAGAGTAAGGTGATGAGGGTATCAAATGATTTAGATAAAGAAAAATTGGATATCAAATTGGGGGGGAGGAGGAGTATGGAAGAAGTGAATGTTTTCAGATACTTGGGAGTTGACGTGTCGGCGGATGGATTTATGAAGGATGAGGTTAATCATAGAATTGACGAGGGAAAAAAGGTGAGTGGTGCGTTGAGGTATATGTGGAGTCAAAAAATGTTATCTATGGAGGCAAAGAAGGGAATATATGAAAGTATAGTAGTACCAACACTCTTATATGGGTGTGAAGCTTGGGTTGTGAATGCAGCAGTGAGGAGGCGGTTGGAGGCAGTAGAGATGTCCTGTCTAAGGGCAATGTGTGGTGTAAATATTATGCAGAAAATTAGGAGTGTGGAAATTAGGAGAAGGTGTGGAGTTAATAAAAGTATTAGTCAGAGGGCTGAAGAGGGGTTGTTGAGGTGGTTTGGTCATTTAGAGAGAATGGATCAAAGTAGAATGACATGGAGAGCATTTAAATCTGTAGGAGAAGGAAGGCGGGGTAGGGGACGTCCTCGAAAAGGTTGGAAGGAAGAGGTAAGGGAGGTTTTGTGGGCGAGGGGCTTGGACTTCCAGCAGGCATGCATGAGCGTGTTCAATAGGAGTGAATGGAGACGAATGGTATTTGGGACCTGACGATCTGTTGGAGTGTGAGCATGTTAATATTTAGTGAAGGGATTCAGGGAAACTGGTTATTTTTATGTAGGCAGACTTGAGTCCTGGAAATGGGAAGTACAATGCCTGCACTCTAAAGGAGGGGTTTGGGATATTGGCAGTTTGGAGGGATATGTTGTGTATTTTTTTACGTATATGCTTCTAAACTGTTGTGTTCTGAGCACCTCTGCAAAAACAGTGATTATGTGTGAGTGAGCTGAAAGTGTTGAATGATGATGAAAGTATTTTCTTTTTGGGGATTTTGTTTCTTTTTGGGCCACCCTGCCTTGGTGGGAGATGGCCGACTTGTTGAAAAAAAAAAATTATGTATTATTATTATTAGTAATTTAGGGAACTGAAGGTCTGTCGTTACTATGATGATAATACAGTGGACCCCCGCATACCGATTTTAATCCGTGCAAGAGGGCTCATTGGTATGCGAAATAATCGGTATGCGAATGAATTTTCCCCATAAGAAATAATGGAAATCAAATTAATCCGTGCAAGACACCCAAAAGTATGAAAAAAAAATTTTTACCACATGAAATATACATTTTCCTACACACAAAGAGAAGGATACATGCACAATAGTAGAGTAGTACATGCACAGTATATATTGTGCATGTACTAGTCTACTAAATGAAGAATAAATGACACTTACCTTTATTGAAGATGCAGCAATGACTGATGAGACACTGTGTCCTGGGAGTGCGTTTTCCTCCTGAGTACTCTAGGTCCTGTTTGGCATTTTCTTCCAGAACAGGCCTTATCACACTGTGTATGTCACTACGATTCTTAAATCTCTCAAACCAACCTTTGCTGGCTTTAAATTCACCAATGTGAGCACTAGTTCCAGGCATTTTTCCCTGTTCACCTGGGTGTTAGTCGACTGGTGTGGGTTGCATCCTGGGAGACAAGATTAAGGGCCCCAGTGGAAATAAGTTAGACAGTCTTCGATGACACTGACTTTTTTGGGTTATCCTGGGTGGCAAATCCTCTGGGGTTAATTGTTTCTTGGTATATTCTCAATAAGCCACACCAACAACAGTGCTACAGCAGCAGCAGACGATGCTACAGCAGCAGCAGCAGCTGACAGTGCAGCAGCAGCAGACGATGCTACAGCAGCAGCAGCAGCTGACAGTGCAGCAGCAGCAGCAGCTGTACCACCAATAGTAGCGATGGTTGATTGGGGTTCATTATACAACCTGGCCAGCTCGGAGACACGCACTCCACTTTCATACTTATCAATGATCTTTTTCTTCATCTCTATAGTAATTCTCACCCTTATTGCTGTAGGGTTGGCACTAGAAGCTTTCTTGGGGCCCATGGTCACTTATTTTCCAGATAAAATCACCAAAAACACTGTAATAATACAAAATGTTACGATTGTATGCTTGGATGCTACCGCGGAGGCTGGCTGGTAAACAATGCCACCGGCGGAACATGTGAGGCTGGCTAAGGCACACATTGGACGCGTCTCGGACGAACAGCGGTGAGCGGGTTTTTGAGCGGTATGCGAGGCAAAATTTTTGCGATTAAAGTGAGCGGTATGCGGAATAAACGGTATGTGATGCCAACGGTATGCGGGGGTCCACTGTATTATTATTATCATTATTAGGTAACTGGAGCACAGATCCAATTCCCTAGACGAAGAGCCCCTCACCAGTGTCAAGGAACCTTGATGGTGAGGGGCTCTTGATCTAGGGAATTGGATCTGTGCTCTATATAATTAATAATAATAATTATTATTATTATTATTATTATAATAATAATAACGAACACCGGCAACTCTGCACTGTTTACCTCGCTGTGGGAGCAGTTCTCTCATGCTTTGCTTACATTTTTGACAGTCATTTGGCGAAATTTTGTTTTTCTAAGCATGGGTCATAAGAAAGTAAGTGTAAAGGACAGTGCTGATAAGAAAAAGAGGATGATTTCCATGGAATTAAAGCATGAAATCGTAGATAAACCAGCGAGGTGTCCAGGTTTTGCGTTGATGGGGAAGCGGAGGGAGCTGGCTCGTAACTCAGAGCAAAAAAATCGACCCAGGGACGGCTCGTATCTCAAAAAACTCATATGTTGGGACACTCATAAGTTAAGGTTCCACTGTATATAAAAGTCAAGGATTTCTCCAGTAGAAAATCAGATCAAATCACAAAGTCTCACTCACAAATGAGAAAACAGTTAAAAATTATTGTTAGAGTTTTAATTTAATGTAACAAATTAAATATACATGAGGTAAAGTGTAATAGTTTGAATAATACAATAGAATTGTAAAAAAGTGGAAAGCCAATAAGTGTGCACTATACTGTACTATATATACAGTAGTAAAAAAAAATGAAATGAAAATGTCATAAGTAGATTTTGCTGAGTAGGAGTAATTTTTGGCATTCACAATTGTAGGACTGAAATTTATATAGATGCTTTACTTCTTTACAGAGTTGAAGAAGTGCTTGACCCTCATTCCTGCCTTAATAGAGGATGATGCAGAAGATACTCGTTACTTCTCTTGTGATGTTATCTATTCCATGTCCATGAATTACCCTCAGTTAATTGATTCTCAAAAGTTGCATGTATTAGCTGAAAGTAAGTACACGTAAATTTAAATCTTTATACAATGTACAGTGGTACCTCGAGTTTCGAACAGCTCCCAACTCAAACGATTATGTAAGTGTGTTTTTGTAAGTGCTTTTGTAAATGTATTTTTTGGGGTCTGAAACGAACTAATCTAATTTACATTATTCCTTATGGGAACAAATTTGTTCGGTATCAGCATTTGAACAACCTTCTGGAACGAATTAAGTTCGTAACTCGAGGTACCACTGTATTTATATATGTGCATATATATGGCTTCCAGCAGGCATGCGTGAGCGTGTTCGATAGGAGTGAATGGAGACGAATGGTATTTGGGACTTGATGATCTGTTGGAGTGTGAGCAGGGTAATATTTAGTGGAGGGATTCAGGGAAGCCGGTTATTTTTTATATAGCTGGACTTGAATCCTGGAAATGGGAAGTACAATGCCTGCACTCTAAAGGAGGGGTTCAGGATATTGACAGTTTGGAGGGATATGTTGTGTATCTTTATATGTATATGCTTCTAAGCTGTTGTGTTCTGAGCACCTCTGCAAAAACAGTGATTATGTGTGAGTGAGGTGAAAGAGTTGAATGATGATGAAAGTATTTTCTTTTTGGGTCACCCTGTCTCGGTGGGAGATGGCCGACTTGTTAAAAAAAAAAAAAATGTATATGTATGTATTAACCCCCTTCTCCTGTATAAATTACTAAACGTAAAAGGAAGAAAACTTTTCTCCTTTTTCGGGTCACCCTGCCTCGATGGGAGACAGTCAGTGTATTAATAAAAAAAATACATGTATGTTTGTTTTTGGGACTTGACGAGTTGTTGGAGCATGAGCAAGGTAAAATTTTATGAAGGGATTCAAGGAAACCAGTTAGCTGAACTTGAGTCCTGGAGGTGGAAAGTACAGTGCCTATACTCTCAAGGAGTCGTTTAGGATATTTGTTGTTTGGAGGGATATCTGAACTGTCATATTTGCATGCCTCTGGCAAGACAGTGATAGTGTGAATGATGGTGAAAGTGTCTGTCTCCCACCCTTCCTTGGTGGGAAATGGCCAGTTATGTATATGTGTATGAATTTTTTATTGTTTTTGTTTTATTATTGTAGAAAAAATTAAAGGAAATGCTGATATACATCACTACATATTTATGTTATCTAAGAGTTTTGCTCTGACTCAACCTGTCATTCTTGCAGAACTAGTGAAGAGGTTTGATGATGTATCACAAAGGATACGACTGAAAGCAGCTCAGGTTTTAGCAGTGTTATTTGAAAACTTGCCAGAAAATTATGATTCTAGATTACATTCTGGCCAACTGCAAGACCTCTATAAAGATGCTGTTATATTTTTAGATGATACTGATGATAAACTCCAGGAAGCTGTTTCATGTAAGTAATTTTGTTCAAGGTAATAAAAACTTAGTACTAAATTGCTTTGTCATGCATTAAACCTGTTATTCCAGAAAAGTATAGCTATCCACACCTTCCTTGGATCAAACATGATAACCTCCCTTTCACCTTTGAGTTCAGCACTTCACATTAATCTAATAATGATAGTAATAATGTTAAACTAGACATAACAATCTGTATCTCAGTGTTCATCTCCTGCTAAGGCAGGGTGACCCAAAGAAGAAAACACATTCACTGTTATTCACTCGGTCAAAGTGTTGAAAGCTGTTAGTCTGAGCTGGCAGACTTCAGTAGTGTCAGTCTGAGCTGGCAGACTTCAGTAGTGTCAGTCTGAGATGGCAGACTTCAGTAGTGTCAGTCTGAGATGGCAGACTTCAGTAGTGTCAGTCTGAGATGGCAGACTTCAGTAGTGTCAGTCTGAGATGGCAGACTTCAGTAGTGTCAGTCTGAGATGGCAGACTTCAGTAGTGTCAGTCTGAGATGGCAGACTTCAGTAGTGTCAGTCTGAGATGGCAGACTTCAGTAGTGTCAGTCTGAGATGGCAGACTTCAGTAGTGTCAGTCTGAGATGGCAGACTTCAGTAGTGTCAGTCTGAGATGGCAGGACTTCAGTAGTGTCAGTCTGAGATGGCAGACTTCAGTAGTGTCAGTCTGAGATGGCAGACTTCAGTAGTGTCAGTCTGAGATGGCAGACTTCAGTAGTGTCAGTCTGAGATGGCAGACTTCAGTAGTGTCAGTCTGAGATGGCAGACTTCAGTAGTGTCAGTCTGAGATGGCAGACTTCAGTAGTGTCAGTCTGAGATGGCAGACTTCAGTAGTGTCAGTCTGAGATGGCAGACTTCAGTAGTGTCAGTCTGAGATGGCAGACTTCAGTAGTGTCAGTCTGAGATGGCAGACTTCAGTAGTGTCAGTCTGAGATGGCAGACTTCAGTAGTGTCAGTCTGAGATGGCAGACTTCAGTAGTGTCAGTCTGAGATGGCAGACTTCAGTAGTGTCAGTCTGAGATGGCAGACTTCAGTAGTGTCAGTCTGAGATGGCAGACTTCAGTAGTGTCAGTCTGAGATGGCAGACTTCAGTAGTGTCAGTCTGAGATGGCAGACTTCAGTAGTGTCAGTCTGAGATGGCAGACTTCAGTAGTGTCAGTCTGAGATGGCAGACTTCAGTAGTGTCAGTCTGAGATGGCAGACTTCAGTAGTGTCAGTCTGAGATGGCAGACTTCAGTAGTGTCAGTCTGAGATGGCAGACTTCAGTAGTGTCAGTCTGAGATGGCAGACTTCAGTAGTGTCAGTCTGAGATGGCAGACTTCAGTAGTGTCAGTCTGAGATGGCAGACTTCAGTAGTGTCAGTCTGAGATGGCAGACTTCAGTAGTGTCAGTCTGAGATGGCAGACTTCAGTAGTGTCAGTCTGAGATGGCAGACTTCAGTAGTGTCAGTCTGAGATGGCAGACTTCAGTAGTGTCAGTCTGAGATGGCAGACTTCAGTAGTGTCAGTCTGAGATGGCAGACTTCAGTAGTGTCAGTCTGAGATGGCAGACTTCAGTAGTGTCAGTCTGAGATGGCAGACTTCAGTAGTGTCAGTCTGAGATGGCAGACTTCAGTAGTGTCAGTCTGAGATGGCAGACTTCAGTAGTGTCAGTCTGAGATGGCAGACTTCAGTAGTGTCAGTCTGAACTGGCAGACTTCAGTAGTGTCATCTGAGATGGAAGACTTCAGTAGTGTCAGTCTGAGATGGAAGACTTCAGTAGTGTCAGTCTGAGATGGCAGACTTCAGTAGTGTCAGCCTGAGATGGAAGACTTCAGTAGTGTCAGTCTGAGATGCAGACTTCAGTAGTGTCATCTGAGATGGCAGACTCAGTATGTCAGTCTGAGATGGCAGACTTCAGTAGTGTCAGTCTGAGATGGCAGACTTCAGTAGTGTCAGTCTGAGATGGCAGACTTCAGTATGCAGTCTGAATGGCAGACTTCAGTAGTGTCAGTCTGAATTGGCAGACTTCAGTAGTGTCAGTCTAGAAAGGCAGACTTCAGTTAGGCAGTATGAATGGCAGATTCAGTATGAAGTCCAGTCTAAATTCATGCAAGAACTTAATATGTACTGTTGGGAAGAATTAAAGTATGCAATTTTAAACAAGTTCCTACAGAATGGAATGTAGAATCTTTTTGAAGGTGATTACCAAAAATACAGGGAATTAGGAAGAAAACTTATGGTTGAGGAAAATTGCTCATCTTTTAAAGATACCACTGAGTTTAGTAACACCAGGAGTAGTGGAATTTCATGTATGCAGAATTCCAATTGAGCACAGAAAAATTTTACATCAAAAGACTAAAGAAAGTGCAGAATAGAAATTTGGATTTTGACAGTAATTCAAATATTCAATGTAATACTAGTGGGACCAAATAAAGATGTATGATTCAGACTAAAGGCAAGTTATCTGAGGTACAGAAAAGAGTTCATCCAGAAATCAGTGAATAAATACTTTCAATTCAACAATAGTTGGCATAATAATTTTGTTTAGATTTAACCCATTATGTATTTTCGGAAGCCTTTCTTTAAATATTATGCTAATGTGCTTAATCTTACTGTTGGAACCCCCAAAATTAAAAGTTGCAATTTTAAAAACAAATTCTTCTGAAATGGCAGAGAATCTTTTTCTGAAGGTGATACCAAAAATACAGAAATTTGAAGGAAAACTTATGGAATTGCACAGGCACAAAGTTGGCAGTCTGGGTGCAATTTACACATTAGCAGTTTCACCCACTTTGAGTTTTATTTTAAGCTAATTCCACCAAGTTTTTAGGTATTTCACTAGTATGCTGTCAGTTCTGTCAATTGAGCACAAGGAAACCACCCATTTGTGCATCAGAACTACCCAAGAAAATGCACAGAATTCAGAAATTTGGCCAATTTTTTCACAGAATTCAACATATTCCAATTTAAAACAGTCCACAATAAATGTTATGTATTCCAGCCACTAAAGCAATCTTTCCTCTGTTCACCAATCATGCATCAATAACAAAGATTTACATGAGAAACAGTGAAAGGGCTCACCTTTATATTCATAAAAAAAAAATGGCCATAAAAGTAGATTTGGGTGAGGAAGCTATTGAGTGTATTTTGGCCAGAATCTTCTGGTTAGTTTTCAGGTCCAAAGAAATAGGGACTACAAATAATCTAATTTATTTGGTCGTTACTAATGAGCAAGGGCATTGGATGACAGAATCCCATGAATATGTGGTTTGATTATTGTCTGTTATAGAAGGCATACTTTTAAAATATTTTGATGCTCTCAATCTTGAGTGATAAAAAAAAAAAAAAAGAGGAAATAGTTTTTAGCCCATTTTTACATGCTATACATTAGGTGAATATGTTTGCTGCTTTGGGTTACCATAATTTTGTGGGAAATGGCCTGTGTGTTACTGGCAGAATTTTAAAAAATTAAAAATTAATTATTCATTTCTCTCCATTTATGTATACTCATGTACTCCTGTTTTGTCAGCTACTCTGGAAACAATGGGGAGGGCATGTCCAGAACTGCTCATCACAGCACTGGAGAAAGATATCCATAAGTATCGAAATGCACACCGCTGCCATAAACTCATCGAGACTCTGAAAACACTGCAGCTAAAGTGAATAATTAATTTGTTTCCAGACTAATTTTTATTAAAATATTTGAGGATCATGTTTAATATTAAATGATAAATATATATGTCTATATTTAAATACTGTATATGTTCTGTCAATGAAAGAATGTCGTTTTACACTCTGGAATAAAATAAAAATTATTGGCGCCAATAGGTAAATCAGGATTGCAGCATTTGTGCATCATATAGAAAATATGATGCACAAATGCTGCAAATACATTTCTATATAGGAATATATTTGGGCTATCAGAATGTTTATTTGCAAATTTTGTGATAGTGTGTGTAATGTATTTTAATGAACTATATACTGTAAGCCTACGATAGGTATGTGCACTACAGTGGTTCCTCAGTAATCGTCCGGCCTGAAAGTTGTCCATTTCGGAAATAGTCCCGTTATTTGTCTAAACATTGCTTGCAAATGGCCCATTAACTCGCTAGATTCGTTCTTTCGTCCTGGAAAACGTACTCACGCTCTGACTGCGATCTCTCCCTTCCGAGCCAGTGTGCCATTGTTTACCAGTGAGCGACGGTCCCCTCATGTGTTCATACGAAATATTTCATAATACAGTGGTCCCCCACTTTTCGTAGTTCCCGGCAGTCGTAAAATTCCCAATCATAGGGGTATTTTCTATACATTGACTTCTTTTCATAGGTTGACTCGCGAGTCGTATTTCATCTGGATGCGTACCCACGCGTGAGCCGGGGCAGCAGCCATCGGCATTGTTTTACCATGAGCGAAGTCCCCTCACGGCTCCAGCGAAATATTTCATAACATTCCATTTATTTTAGTGCTTGCAAGTACTAAATAAGCAACCATGGCTCCAAAGAAAGCGCCTAGTGCCAAGCCTGTGGTAAAGAAGGTGAGAAATACGATTGAATTTAAGAAAACCATCATTGAACAATATGAAAGTGGTACAAGTGTGGCCGAACTGTCCATGATGTATAAGAAACCCTACACAACCTTATGTTTCATAGTGGCCAAGAAAAAGGAAATAAAGGATGCTGTTGTTGCAAAGGGAGTAACTATGCTGACAAAAATGAGATCACCAGTACTGGAAGAGGTTGAGAAGTTATTATTGGTGTGGATAAATGAGAAACAATTAGCAGGAGATACTCTTATGACTTCGATTATTTGTGAAAAGGCTAGGCAGTTGCATGAAGATTTGGTAAAGAAATTGCCTGCAAATAGTGGTGAAGTGAGTGAATTTAAGGCCAGCAAAGGCTGGTTTGAGAGATTTAAGAACCGTACTTGCATACACAGTGTGGTAAGGCATGGTGAGGCTGCCAGTTCAGACCACAAGGCGGCTGAAAAATATGTGCATGAGTTCCAGGAGTACATAGAGGCTGAAGGACTGAAACCTGAACAAGTGTTCAATTGTGACGAAACAGGCCTCTTTTGGAAGAAAATGCCAAAGAGGACCTTCATTACACAAGAGGAAAAGGCAATGCCAGGACACAAGCCTATGAAAGACAGGCTGACGCTAATGTTCTGTGCTAATGCTAGTGGGGATTTCAAAGTGAAGCCATTACTAGTGTACCATTCTGAAAATCCCAGAGTGTTCAGGAAAAACAATGTTATGAAGAGTAAATTGTGTGTGTTTTGGAAATCTAATAGTAAGGCATGGGTCATGAGGGAAATTTTCGTCAAGTGGTTCAATGAAGTGTTTGGCCCTAGTGTGAAAGAGTATCTCCTGGAAAAGAAATTGGATCTCAAGTGCCTGCTAGTAATGGACAATGCACCTGCTCATCCTCCAAACTTGGATGACCTAATTTTCGAGGAGTTTGGGTTCATCACAGTAAAGTTCTTGCCCCCGAATACCACTCCTCTCCTCCAACCCATGGACCAGCAGGTTATTGCAAACTTTAAAAAACTCTACACAAAAGCAGTGTTTCACAGGTGCTTGACTGTGACCACAGACACTCACTTGACCCTAAGGGAATTTTGGAGAGAACACTTCAGCATCCTCACTGCATAACCCTTATAGGTATGGCTTGGGAGGGAGTGACTACCAGGACTTTGAACTCTGCCTGGAGAAAATTGTGGCCAGATTGTGTCGACAAGAGGGATTTTGAAGGATTTGGGACTGACCCTAATGAGCCTATGTCTGTTGTAAAATCAATTGTGGCACTGGGGAGTTCCATGGGGTTGGATGTGAGTTTGGAGTATGTGGAAGAATTGGTGGAAGACCACAATGAAGAGCTCACCACTGAGGAGCTGCAAGAGCTTCAGCAGGAAGAGCAACACATCGCAGCTCAGAATCTTGCTGCAGAGGAAGAGGAAGAGAGATGGAAGAAGGTGCCTTCTTCAGAAATTAAAGAGATTTTTACTATGTGGGGTAAGATGGAAAGCTTTATGGAGAAACATCACCCTAACAAGGTTGTTGCAAGCCAGGTTGGCAACATGTACAGTGACAAAGTCTTGGGCCATTTTAGGGAAGTGTTAAAGAGACGCCAGAAACAGAGCTCTCTCCACAGAGAAGAAAAGCAACCCCAGAAAAGCAAATGGTACCTGAGGTGTTGATGGAAGGGGATTCCCCTTCCAAACTATAAACAATCCACTCTCTCTCCTCCTCCAGTCTCCCATACACTAAGAAGAATCTCCAATAAAGGTAAGTGTTATGCTGTTAATGTTTCATTCATCATTTCCCATTGTATTGTTTATGTACTACATGTATATTTCATGTTAAAATTTTTTTTGTTTTAATACTTCTGGGTGTCAGGAACGGATTAATTGTATTTACATTATTTCTTATGGGGAAAATTGATTCGTAAATCTTAAATTTCGTTTATAGTAACGGCTCCAGGAACGGATTAATTACGAAAAACGAGGGACCACTGTATTCCATTCATTTTAGTGCTTGCAAGTGCTAAATAAGCTACCATGGCTCCAAAGAAAGCTCCTAGTGCCAAGCCTTTGGTAAAGAAGGTGAGAAATACGATTGAATTTAAGAAAAACATCATTGAACAATATGAAAGTGGCGTACGTGTGGGCGAACTGGCCAGGATGTATGACAAATCCCGTACAGCCATATCTTCCATCATAGCCAAGAAAAAGGAACTCAGAAGCTGTTGTTGCAAAGGGGGTAAATATGCTGACAAAAATGAAATCACCAGTACTCGAAGATGTTGAGAAGTTATTATTGGTGTGGATAAACGAGAAACAATTAGCAGGAGATAGTCTTATGACGTCGCTTATTTGTGAAAAGGCTAGGCAGTTGCATGACAGTTTGGTAAAGAAATTTCCTGCAACTAGTGGTGATGTGAGTGAATTTAAGGTCAGCAAAGGCTGGTTTGAGAGATTTAAGAAGTGTACTGGCATACACAGTGTGATAAGGCATGGTGAGGCTGCCAGTTTGGACCAAAAATCGGCTGAAAAATATGTGCAGGAATTCAAGGAATACATAGAGGCTGAAGGACTGAAACCTGAACAAGTGTTCAATTGTGACAAAACAGGCCTCTTTTGGAAGAAAATGCCAAAGAGGACCTACATTACTCAGGAAGAAAAAAGGCACTGCCAGGACACAAGCCTATGAAAGACAGGCTGACACTCATATTCTGTGCTAACGCTAGTGGGGATTTCGAAGTGAAGCTGTTACTAGTGTACCATTCTGAAAATCCCAGAGTGTTCAAGAAAAACAATGTTATGAAGAGTAAATTGTGTGTGTTTTGGAGATCTAATAATAAGGCATGGGTCACGAGGGACATTTTCGTCGAGTGGTTCAATGAAGTGTTTGGCCCTAGTGTGAAGAATTACCTCCTGGAAAAGAAATTGGATCTCAAGTGCCTCCTAGTAATGGACAATGCACCTGCTCATCCTCCAAACTTGGATGACCTAATTCTGAAGGAGTTTGGGTTCATCACAATAAAGTTCTTGCCCCTGAATACTACTCTCCTCCAGCCCATGGACCAGCAGGTCATTTCAAACTTTAAAAAAAACTACACCAAAGCAATGTTTGAAAGGTGCTTTAATGTGACCTCAGACACCCTAAGAGATTTTTGGAAAGAACACTTCAGTATTCTCCATTGCATAAGCCTTATAGGTAAGGCTTGGGAGGGAGTGACTACCAGGACTTCGAACTCTGCTTGGAGAAAATTGTGGCCAGATTGTGTCCACAAGAGGGATTTTGAAGGGTTTGAGGCAGCCCCTGATGAGCCTATGTCAGTTGTGAACTCTATTGTGGCACTGGGGAGTTCCATGGGGTTGGATGTGAGTTTGGAGGATGTGGAAGAGTTGGTGGAGGACCACAACGAAGAACTAACCACTGAGGAGCTGCAAGAGCTTCAGCAGGAGGAGCAACAGATCACAGCTCGGAATCTTGCTGCAGAGGAGGAGGAAGAGAGATGGAAGAAGGTGCCTTCTTCAGAAATTAAGGAGATTTTTGAAATGTGGGGTAGGATGGAAAGATGTATAGAGAAACATCACTCTGAGAAGGATGTTGCAAGCCATATCGGCAACTTGTACAGCGACAGAGTCTTGGCCCATTTTAGGGAAGTTTTAAAGAGACGCCAGAAACAGCTTTCTGGACAGTTTTTTGCAAGAAAGGACTCCAGTGACTCTCAAGCTGATCCTAGTGGCATTAAGAAACAAAGAAGAGAAGTAACCCCAGAAAAGCACTTGGTACCTGTCTTCCATACACTAAGATGAATCGGCAATAAAGGTAAGTGTTATGCTGTTAATGTTTCATTCATCATGTTCCATTGTATTGTTTATGTACTACATCTATATTTCATTTAAAATTTTTTTTTGTTTTAATACTTCTGGGTGTCAGGAATGGATTAATTGTATTTACATTATTTCTTATGGGGAAAATTGATTCGAAAATTGTCTATTTCGATAATAGTCCCACTTCCAGGAACGGATTATGGACGATAATTGAGGGACCACTGTATATGCTTTTTATAGGCATTTCTTTGGGTTGTCAAAAGAAGCTAAAGGAATAGTCCATAAACATACCCTTACAATGCATTTACCTATGAGCCACCAT